GGTTACCTGCAGGCCAGGCATCTCTGGGGGTGTAAAGGCGTCAGGGCCCAGGCGCCCGGGAAGCAGTGGTGTTCTCTGTGCATTGATGAGCATAGGCCTTGGAGGTCATCGGTGTCTGAAGGTCTGCCTGGTTACCTAGCAGTAGCAAAGGGCACAGGGATGGCAGCCAAGACCAGCCCTCCCCAGAGTGCAAACCTTATTTACAGCCAAGGACATTACCCTGAACCCATTCCAAACCCCAATGAAGACGGCCGGGCATGATGGTTTTTTTTTTGCAAACCAGGCAGGCTCGGGAATTGACAGACTTCACGTAGATGCGTCTTTGTCGCAGGGAGCTGCTGTCAGCCAGCCAAAACAAATAGCATAAAGCAGAATAATAAAACATGGCTGGCGGGAGATCTTGTTTTCTCTCAAAGAGGGCCCATTTTGAGTGTGGTGGCAGTGACTCTATGAATCAAAAGAAAATAGATCCCAACCCACACTCTCTCGCGCTTTCCCTCCATCCGCACGTTCATTTTATCTCACGTCTCAAACACACACTTTTTTTTCCCCCGCCCCTATTGAAACTGAAAGGTGTTCTTTCTAAAAATAAGTCGTCTGTATGTAATTCCATAAATGGCTGCTTCCTGGGGCTTGCTGTTTTGCAAGACTGTGGCTTTCACTGAAGTGGTAGTAGAGAGTCGGGTTGGCTCTCTTGCAAAAACTCTTTGGAGATACCTGTGTGCGCGATGTGTACGTGCAATAGCTCACATGTACACACGCGTTCAGAGTCTGATTGCCCGTTAGCTCTGTCCCCGTGTATGATGAAAGAATTTCCGTGGAGAAAAGATAATGATCCAGCTTGTTTGCTTCATGCCTTTAGAAATGCACCACCTTCCTGTCTTATTCCAGACACAGAGAGCACAGCCCTTTTCTTCCAAGGACCACAACAGGTGCAGCCGGTGCAGGTCCTGGATGAGAAGCAAGGTGGGCTTCCCCTCCCCCAAACAGACTTGGCGTGAGTGGGAAGACCAGGAAGGCTTCCCAGGGCTTGACCCAGGAGCAGGATTTGGACGTCTCCTTGGACTGCGATGGCAACCACAACTCCAGGGCAGAGATGGGGAGAGAATGTTCTCTGGGCTTTTCCAGCAATGACAGAAGAAGACAGAGTCTCTGGTCATCTTCCCAGTTGGAGGGGACTGTGGGCAGAGGAGGTGAAGGAAAGCAGGCACATCTTTAAAGCACAATTCTTCACTAGCCCTTAGAAAATTAAAAAATGTGTCTCCAGGCCAGGTGTGGTGGTGCATCCCTGTAATCCCTGTGGCTTGGGAGGCTGGGGCAGGAGGACTGCAATTTGGAGGCCAGCCTCAGCAACTTAGCAAGGCCCTGAGCAACTTAGTGATACCCTGCCTCTAAATAAAATATAAAAAGGACTGAGGTTATGGCTCAGTGGTTAAGGACCCATGGCTTCAATCCCCAATATTTTTTTAAAAATGTATCTCTGCAGATTATAATATAAGATTGCTTTCTGGCCATTATCAAGTAGAATAAGCCTTGTGAGGTAAAGTCCAGCAAATTATTCTGTAAGAGATGAAGCAATTTCTAGCCACTATTAGAACCCAGTTTCTATAGGATGGTAAACTTTAAATCTTTACCCCACTGATATTATGTTGCATTATATGCTTAAATCTTTACCTTATTGATATTATGTTCTTCCTGTTGTGAGCCACATCTTTGAAATAAATTGCTTTTCTTAAAATTCAAGTAAAAGTGTCTGCATGCCAATGAAAGAGCAACCCCAGTTATACGAAAAGTTTGAAAATTGTTGACATCATCCTTTCTGCACACATAAGAACTGAAGTTGGTTGCTGTATCCAACATCAACATCACGATCCCAATATAAACCTGAGAAAATTTGGCAAATCTTCATCCTGGGTTACTTTTGGAAGCAAAGACATAGATTCAGCTGTAGACTTTAATCACTGTTCAACTTTATGTTTTCTTGATTTAGGGTTGCTTTTTTTTTTCCCCCGTAACTGCTGATTTTTTTTTTTCTGATCCTTAAAAACATGAGACATAATTTAGAAACTTGAGTTGTTCTTATTTTGTGCCCCTGGCTATGTGATTGTCTTACATCAAATCCCGGAGGGAAACGTATCCAACTCTTGCCTTCTGCTCCGTGGGGCACACAATACACTGTCAAAGGTGCAAGAGACTCAGAGAATTGTTTGAAAATATTTTTCTTGACAAGCAAGGACTTTTTTCCTAAAGTGGCACTGTGTTCAGAGTGAAGCCCAAACGCTTTGTTCCTGACGCGAGCAACTGCCTTTCCGTATCCGTCACTTGCTGTGATGGTCTGGGGCAGTTTGCATTCTTTCTTTGCCCGTCTGTCTGTCTGTCTGTCTGCCTGAGGAGCCAGAGAATTCCAAGAACTGGTTAAGCCTGGAAATTAAGGAAGTGGGATTTCATATTTCATATCTAAATGTTAATGCTTTAAATAATTGAGCATAATTGTTCCCTGCCATTTATCATCATGTACCATGTGCCAGACACCAGGATAAATGTTTTACATGTATTATAGCTCCTAATCCTTATAAAATCTGGTGAAGTCAGTTTGACTGTCCTTATCTTACAAGATAAGACACAGAGAGGGTGATTCGCTGCCTGAGCTCACACAGTGGAAATGAGAATACAAAGCCAGACATGTCTGACGCCCAAACCTCTGGCTTCTAACTGATGTTTTATATTTTTCACCATCATTTTCCCAAAGACTTGGAAAACGCCTCTTTTTTGTTCATTTGTCTCATTTTGTTTTGCATAAACATTGATGGGAACCCAGCCATGCCGTTTTATTTGGGTCGCCCCATGGCTGCTCTGAGCTTGGGCGGCAGAGTCAAATAGCTACAACACAGACCGTATGGCCAGCAAAGCCCCGAGTGTATTTATTTATTCTCTAGCCCTTTTATGGAAAAAAAAAATCCTGATCCCTGATCTTTAGGATCATTGGCCTGGCTCAAGGGGTCTGACCACATGAAGTTATTCAGAAAAAATTAACAGACTCAATCCACTCAATGCTGAAGCACCTCACTCTGTGACGAACAAGATCCTGAAATAGACATGGAACTGTCTTGGGCACATGGACATCCAATTATCACAGCACCAGGTTTGAGAAGAGTCACCCTCACATTGTTGGTGGGACTGCAAATTGGTGCAACCACTCTGGAAAGCAGGATGGAGAATCCGCACAAAAACAGGAATGGAACCACCATTTGATCCAGCTATCTGACTCCTTGGTCTATACCCCAAGGATTTAAAATCAGCATACTACAGTGATGTGGCCACATCAATGTTTATAGCAATCCAATTCACAAGAGCTAAACTATGTAACCAGCCTAGGTGCCCTTCAACAGATGAATGGATAAAGAAAACATGGTATATAAACACAGTGGAATACTACTTAGCCATAAAAAAGGATGACTTTATGACGTTTGCCAGTAAATGGATGGATCTGGAGACTATCATGTTAAGTGAAAGAAACCAATCCCAAAATAACCAAAGGTCAAATATTTTCTCTGATTGTGGAAGCTAATCCACCATAAAGAGGGGAAGGAGAAGAATATTAGACAAAGAGCGATGGAAGAATAGGAGGGAGGATAAGAAAAGGAAAGACAGTGGAATGAATCTCTGTCACAATTTTACTATGTTCACAAGTGAAGACACCAGAGTGAATCCCACCATCATATAGCCCCACAAGAATGGGGTCCTAATTAGAAGAAAATATAGTCCATGCTTGCATAATCGTATCCAAACAGATTCTAATATCATGTATAATTTAACAAGAACCAATTTTAAAAATGGAAAGAGTCCTTTTTGCCCCTGAATTGTCTTGACTTCTCCGTGGGAAATCAACTGACCGCAGCGCGACAGGTCGTTTCTGCTCCGCTCATTGTACACCCATCAGTCAGTCAGTGCGAGCCTCACCATCTGCATTACTGTGGGCAGTTTTGCCTGAAAGTTTTCCAGTGAGTTTTGTAATCAGGAAGAACAAGTCCTCCTTTGACCTTCATCCTCAAGGTCATCTTGGCTCCCTGCCACTTGCCGGTGAATTGTGGTTCTGTGTGGTCCGTTTGTGAAGAGAAGCGAGCTGGGATTTCGGCGGGGGGTGAGGTTGAATGTGTCAGTCCGTTTGGGAGGCACCGCCATCTTGATGTGTCTTTCCGTCCATCCATGAACGTGGGATGCATTTCCATTTAATCTGGGTCCTGTTTGGGTGTCTTTCCAATAAGTTTTACACTTCTCAGAACACACGCTTCACACTCCATGTATCATTTGTCCTCTGGGTACACCTGAATGATGAACGTAACGTACCCTTCCAGCCCAGTGCCAGGGATAAAATGAGGAGGGGGAGAATTGCATCTGACCCTACGGGGGCCCCAGCTAATCAACCACAGGCCCAATTCCCACCTCCCCAGCGCTGCAAAGAAGAGGGACGCCTGTTATGTGCAGAAGATCTTCCCCAGAGTGAAATCGCTGTCTCCGAGAAGAGTTGTAAGCCGCGCTCTGGCAGCAAGACGTGTCTGACGGCTTGGGCATGACAAGGCTCCGTCTCCCCCGTGGGGAAAAAATATTCTGTCAACGTGTTGCATGTGTCAGATGAAGATCAGATCAGCCAACAGAGCCCGGCTTACAATCTGGAAACTAATGTTTGGGTCTGGGGTAAAAAACTCTTTTTTTCCCAACCTCAGTCATAATGCATGCTTTATCCAATGAGCTCAATCTCTATCATCTATCCATCTTCTAAAATATCCAAAAACCAAGCAGCAACTGGACCGAGGGAGTCAGTCCCTGACAGAACAGCAAGGCATGTTTTCTTACAAGGAAGGGAAAGACAATAGGATAAACATATATTTTTTTGTACCCAGGAGTCCTTAACCACTGAGCCACATCCCCAGCCCTTTTTATTTTTTATTTAGAGACAGAGTCTCTCGAAATTGCTTAGGACCTCACTAAGCTGCTGAGGCTGATCTCATCTGCGATCCTCCTGCCTCGGCCTCCTGGGTTACTGGGATTACAGGGGTACGCCACTGCACCTGGCTATAAAGAGTGTTTGCACACAGGGCTTGCGGACTTGTAACGGTCGGCGGCATTCACTTACCTGTTGCGATCATGGATCCTCTGTCTCCCTCCCAGCAGGCAGCTCCTGCCGGGGTTCTGTGTGTTTTATATTCCCTGATACATCTACTCCCCCTCCTGCCTTCAAGAAGCGCCTGGGAGTTCCTGGCCCAAGGTGCTCCCTAAACACGTGCCGGATTGACGTGTGAAGTCCCACTGAGAATTTCCGTGTTCAGGCCGTGCGTTTGGAGCGGTGCTGCTTATCATCAGGAAATCTCTGCGTACCCATGGGGGTGGGGATTGACAGCTAAGACTGTAAAAACAGAAATAAGAGAAATAAAGGAGCTGCCTATAAGATCCAGGTGACGTATTATCCTCCCTAATGTGACATGACCACAGGTGACGGGGTGACAGAAGCAGGCGGGGTCTCAAGGGACGGTGGGAGGACTTGCAATGTCTCTGCCGACGGACACTGCGGAGTCCAGTCCTCCACGTTTTTTCCGTGGGTTTGCAGAGAACAGCCTGCTTGGCTTTCTGGAACATTCCCCAGACGTTAGCCTCTGCGTCTGAGTTTCAAATCCTTCCTACCTCCCTGTTATGGTTTAGGTAGGAAGTTTCCCCCAAAAAGCTCCAGTGCGCGACCCTACAAGGTTTGGAAGTGAACTGACGGGGTGTGTACCCACACCTGTTGACATATCCCTGCCAGCCGCAAGGGCTATGGTCCTCAGGAGCCCTCCTCCTCCTGGTTCCAGGGTCCTTCTCCTGTGCCCTCCTAAAGCATCTGGAACCTCTCGGTTCTTCAGAAACCTTCAACACTCACGCAAATGTGCAAGACTCCTGGACCTCCCACGTCCACCGGCAACTGTAAGTAGCCACGGCCACAATGCCCTTGCTAAGACGGCCAGCCATGGAGAGGAAGATCCATGCAAGATGCACCACCGTTGCAACAATGTACAGCCATGTTTCTCTCCAACATACCCTGGTACCACGGAATGTCTCACATGTTTTGCAAAACGTAAAAAACTGGACACACGGAGGGGCAAGCAGATCAGAAACCGAGGAAGCCATGAGTCTGCAGTGAGACCCTTTGTGGGACTCACCCTGAGGCCACGCTTCCTCCCAGGAGCCGCGCACTTACAAGACATCGCAGCTAGGATGTCCTAACCCACGCGGCTTCTTGCAGCGATGCCCGATGCCTGACGTGCTGTGGACACCGCCTACGAGATTTCAGCCCAAACAAATGTGTCATGCAAACAGCCACCGACAGGAAGCCTTTTTCCTTAGGAGGAGAGTCTGGAATGACAGGCAGGAAAACGCGATCCCCACCTGACTGTCCCAGGAGAGCGTCCAATAAGTAGCAAGTCCTCCAAGAGGGGTCGAGGTGGCCTGTTATCTTTAAAACCTGAAACTTAAAACAGTTCCAGACCCCTGGACCACGTGTCGAGCAAACTTCCAGAGACGTCACACATGTGCAGTGGATTCCAGGGATTCTGCCCAGGGAGGGGGTCTCTGGGACTTGGCAGCTTCCCGTTTCCATATGGAAAGGGTTACGGGGAGGGAAAGAGGGGAGGCGGGGACAAGAACCGTGTTGTCACATCGGGGATGCAGCCCCGTGCCATCTCGCCCCGGCCACACGCTGGCCGCCCGTGTGGGAAGACTTAGTGGAAACCTTTCATGGTCCTTCAAGGGCTGTTGAAGACATGGTGAGCGTCTCTGGGGTGATTCTGACTCTTGTCACGTAAGGTTTGGGGGCAGAAAATACAGAATGTGCACCAGCAGGCACCCCTCACCCAGTGAGCTGCAAACTTCACGGTAACACGTTCCTGGGGGGTTGGGGCCCACTGGTTAGATGAGGAGCCTCTAGGCCACCTCCCACCGAGGCACACTTTGTAGATAAGGCCTCACGGAAACAGAGCCAGGGCTGTAAATTCCTCTGTGCTTTTTTGTGTCTGTCTAAGTCAGTCGTGATTACAAAGGGCGACCCACAAAGCAGAGAATACGTGCGTGCGCTCTCTGGTCCTTTATCTACTGACCTTTGATGTGGACCTTTATTCTGCTTGGGGCGGGGTGGGAAGGACAGCTAGACTCCTACACCTACCAAAAGCATAGCCAGAAGGTATCAGAATAATATCAGGATAAGATAGTCCTTGGAATGGACTAGAAGATAGCTTGGTGCACGTAGGGAATGATAATCATCGTGTGTACTTCTACACCTCTTCCAAGGCAACCTTTATGGAAAACAGTGAAAAGTACTAGCCCCTAGTTTAGTAGGGAGTGAGACTTTTTTTTTTTTTTGGTACCAGGAATTGAACCCAGGGTGCTTATTAACCACTGAGCCACACCCCCAGCGCTTTTTTATATTTTATTTAGAGATAGGGTCTCGCTAAGTTGCTAAGGACCTTGCTAAGTTGCTGAGGCTGGCTTTGAACTCGCGATCCTCCTACCTCAGCCTCCCAAGCTGCTGCTGTGATTACGGGCTTGCACCACCACACCCAGCTGTGAGCGAAGGTTTTGATGAAATCCACGGCTCCAGGGGGCATGCGATGGCTCCGGGAAGGCAGTGCATGTGCGATATACCAACTGAAGCATCCGTAGAATTTTGGAGTGTGGACCAGAGAAGTTTGGAGGAAAGATGGACCCTCTTCTTTCCATCATTGCCTGGGGAGGGGAGGGGAGGCTTCCCCAGAGGTTTAAGCCAACATACTAACCAGCTTTCTAGAGAGCTGGATTCAGAGTACGGGAAGATAAAATCTTGACAGCCTGTAGAGAGATACTCCTCTTCAGACGCGAGTATTGGAATCTCGGTAGGATTCTGTGTAGCAAAGGCTCCTGCCAAATGAGGCTGGATGGGTGACAAACTGTGTTTTGAAAAAACAAAACCAAAAAAAAAAAATACCATGTTTGAATTGCACGAGTTCAAATAGGCCAGCAATAAGCCAAATTGCCTGTCTTTTGGAGAGCTAGGGAGAGGAGAGGGTCAGGAGGGGAAATGACAAAGTAAACAAGTCACTGTTATGAACATCTCCACGGCTCATCCCACCTCTGAGAGTTCAGGACAGAAATGCTGACTCCTTCACACTGCTGATTATAACAAGACGCGTGGAGTGCAGGAGCTCGCTGGATACCCTTATGCATTTTTCCGTGATGCATTTGAAAGCTCCACCGCTTGGTTTGCGGCCTCCTCCCACACACCAGATACTTGAGAGCAAATCTCATTTAGAGGATGTTTTGTCTGGAGGCAGCCGGGCTGCATTCTAATAAGGCAGATGTACAGGAGGCCGTTTCCAACGCTCACATCCACAGGCGCGGAGGTAATTAGCTGGAACTGCGAGAACCAGGCAGAGATGGATCTCTGTCTGGGCTCGTGCAGAAGGATGTCTCTGCTGGCCCCGGGGCTGAGCAAAGCACTTCCCCGCCAGCCCAGCCTGGACCCGCCATGCTCCAGGTGGGTCACAAGGAGGAGGCTCAACCTCCACGCAGAGACCTGTCCCAACTTGGACCAAGTTTTCGTAAATTCTGGCTTCCCAATTCAGCTCCTTCTGTTGGCTGTGTGGGTCCTCATTCTGGAGTTCCCACAGAGCTCGCTCGCTGCACCCCAAATCTGCCGGCACTGCCACCACGCTGAGCCTTGGTCCAAGCCTTGCACTTGGCATTTAGCTTCCTCTAGACAAATCCTCCAGAATCATTTCCACAGACTGACTTCTGAGAGGCACCTTCTGCAATTGCTCATCTGCAATTCTGCTTCCCCTCATTGACCCACAATCTGAGGGTGTCAGGACCTTTCCAAAATTCTTCTGATACTAAGAGGTTTTAGCAAGTTCTTGGAGCTTATAAATACCCTCAGTCTTTGAAACTGATTTAGCTATTCTTCCGTACCTAGCAACATCTGCAGCGCTTCCAACTGGAGCTCTTTTTCCCAAGGCATGCAACCTGCAGTCCCATGCGCCCTGGCCCAAGCTCCTTCCCAGCACTGAAGAGCTGGCCCCTAGTGCACTGTCGGCAATCTTCCATTATCTTTGTTGCCTCTTGCTGTCTGGAGTGGTCCTACGAGGTTAGAAGTTCCTTGGAGATAAGGAGTCCCTTGTTATGATTGGTGTGGTCTCTTTGGAGTCTTCACCATGGGTCTTTTCAACTGTCCTTTCTCTGAAATGCTTCCAACTTCTGCTGCAAGTGAAAGGTGGAAGCTCAAAAGCATTGAACACAGCTCAATCACCTTCCCCGCCCCCAGGTGCTTAAAGAAGTGCTGAGTAAATTAAACTGTGGATGGGAGGCAGCAGAGCCATCTCCCCGTGCCTAGCCCAGCGGGCTCTTCAAGGTCAAGAGCACAGAGGGAAAAAAACAGCAGAACACGGTTAAGCAACCAGACTGGAATTTGCCACGAAAGCAAAGGAAAGGTTTGCAATCACAAAGTGCCTTTGATTTCCTATTTTCATTTTGGACATGCAGTTATTACTGTACAAGCTGAGCTGAGTGGATTCATACTTTTTTGAATTATAGTCAAGAAGAGTAGTGGTATTTTCAGTAAATTAATTAGAATGGGAGTATGTCAAGCATTCCACTGTAGTGGAATGTGTGTAAATATTGGTTACATTGTCTATCCATTTGAATATACAAAAGGTTACATATATGCAAACAGACATGGATTATATACTGGCACATGTGCACGCCTGTAATCCCAGCTGCTCTGGAGGCTGAGGCAGGAGGATTGGAAGTTGAAAGCCAGCCTCAGCAAAAAGTGAAGTGCTAAGCAACTCAGTGAGACCCTGTCTTTAAATAAAATATTAAAAAAGGGCTGGGGATGTGTCTCAGTGGTTGAGTGTCCCTGAGTTCCATCCCTGGTACCAAAAAAAGGAAAGGAAAAACCAAACATGTATGCACAAATAAATGACTTGATGGTGACTCTTTGCTATTCTTATTATTTATTTCAGATCACTTTTTATTGTTGCAGTATAATTACTAAAGTTCAGGGAAATTACACTGAGGCTTGGTGTAATTGAACCTCTCACCCCTGCAACTCTACCGAGCACTGAGTTTGTTTGATTTTGTTGTGATACTTGGAGTGTCTCTGTGCTCCTGTTCCGTCAGATCCTGTTCCCCCTGCAGCCAGGGAGGAGCCATGCCCACACGCCCATACCCCAGTGGCTCCATCCATCCATCCATCCATCCATCCATCCATCCGTCCATCCATCCATCCGGCCACCTTGGAATTAAAGGGGGTAGCCACGCAGCCGGGTGACAGGGTCCACGCCTGTAATTTGAGTGGCTCAGGAAGCTGAGGTAGGAGGATTGCAAGTTCAAAGCCAGCCTCAGCAACTTGGCAAAGTCCTAAGCAAAATAAAATATAAAAAAGGGCTGGGGATGTGGCTCAGTGGTTGAGTGCCCCTGAGTTCAATTCCTGGTACCAAAAAAGAAAAAAAAAATCAAATGCAAAAGAGAGAGTATAATCAGATTCCGTTTATATGAAGTATTCAGAATAGATGGATCCGCAGAGACAGAAAGCTGACTGCAGTTTGCCAGGGGCTGGGGAAGGAGAGACTGGGGAGTAATTCCTGGTGGGTATGGCTTTGTTTTGAGGTGATGAACATGTTTAGAAACTAGATGGAGATTATGGCTGCGTGACTCTGCAGGTGTATTAAAAACCACTGACCCGTTCACTTTAAAATGGTCAATTTTATGCCATGTGAGTTTCACCTCAGTATTTTGTTTTGGTTTTTTGGGGGGGGGTTGGCTGGTTTGGTTTTGGCTTGGTGTTTTTGGTGGTGCTGGGTTGCGCCCAGGGCCTTGAGCATGGGAGGAGGCGAGCACTCTACCAACCGAGCTATCCCCCCAGCCCTCACCTCAGTTTCTTTAAATGCATGATTTAAAACATGAAATATATTTTGCTAAGTAAACTGCAGGGTCTTTGTTCCAGGAGGTTTAGGTTTCCTTTCATTTTTTGAAGAAACTGTGCAAGACCTTTATAGAATCTCCTATGAGGGCGGGGGTGCCGCTCCGTGGCAGAGCACTTGACACGCAATCGGACCGTGCCCTCGGTTACCCCCCAGCGCCTCTGAAATATTACTGTCACTTTTAAAAATACCTCCTAGAGGACTCTAGGAATGAGGGGTTCTAAAAAGAAGAAGGGAAGGAGGGGAGGAGAGAGGGAGGGAAGGAGGGAGGGGTCATCTGGGAGCTCCTTAAAAACGCAGGTCTCTGGGCAAACCAGAAAGACTTGAGTTGGAAGTGACATGGTACGGGGGTCCCCCAGCAGCCCTGAAACTGTGTACCCTGCCTTCCACAGAAGGTCCCCACCAAGCCTCTAGATGCCCTGTACCAAGGTCCGGCCACCCTCCAAGGCACCAGGAGTGCTCTCCTGTCCTCTTCCTGGAGGCCTCCAGGGACAGAGACTTGGTCAGGCAGTGCTCCAACCCAGGGACGCACACAGAACTTTTTAACCGTGTCTTTACCAACAGCCAAGACCGCTCCCTCCCTCTCCCTCCACTGTGCCTTTGCTCCCGTCTATCTCCACGCGGAGGGGAGTGAGCTGGGCAAAGGGCCCCAGGAAGGCTCTGAGGCTGGTGGCCTGAGCTATCCTGAGAGGATCCCATCCCTGAGATGCAGAGGGCAAGTCTCATAGGGAGCAAGAAAAACTTCTAGGTGCCGGTAAACATGTTGCAATGAGACAGGTGAATGCCTCCTAAGAGCTGGGCCTCCAGGAACCAGCTACATGCACCTGGCTCACAGCAGGCTCCGTCTTCATCAGCAAATGAGCAGCGGTCAGCATCATGCCCACGGGATAAAGGGATGCCACTGGAGACCACACTAGAACACAGACCCTCTGGGCGGCTCTGGGGACTGATTGCAGGATGCATTATGCTGAATGGTGACCGACCGCTCAGCCCCTCTGTAATCAGTCACCCGATTTGACACTTGAGAAGATGACGTCATCTTCTGCTTCTTATTTCAGGAAGCGAAAACAAAACAAAGCAACCAAACTCAGCTTCTGTTTTCGCGTAATAGGTGCCAGAAGTCGTTACGTGCATGAGTCCACATCTGCAGCAATAGGAAAAGACAACATAATTAGGTATTATATGCTGTAGAAGTACCTGATGCTTATACTGTGTAATAACATTTGTAATTAAAGTGCACATTACACATTTGCAATGTACAGCATGCATCTATTGCCAAGTTAATATATCAGGGAGTTACACCCGTGCACAGACAATGGTGTTTCAGTCAAAGATAGACTGACCGCACAAGGAGGGTCCTGTAAGATGACGTTGGAGCTGAGACGATCCTGTCACCTAGTGCCATAACTGTTAGGCACATCATTCACAAGTCTGCAGCAAAGCTGGTGTAAACGAACACAACTGTGCTGCCAGTCCTGTAAGTGTAGCACAATCATGTGCCACACATAATACTTGATAATGACCATAGGCAAGTATGTTGCTGGTTGCTGTATTCACTGCACTATGAATCACCAGCTTAGAGTGTCCTCCTATCATTTTGTCTTTTAAAAAGGTTACTGTGAAACAGTTTACGGTGTTGTGCCGGCAGCAGCCTCTTACACTTCATCTTTACCTGTCCCTTGTTGCATCAAGAGACTGGATGTGGTGGTGCACACCTGTAGTCTCAGTGACTCAGGAGGCTTAGACAGGAAGATTGCAAGTTCAAAGCCAGCCTCAGCAGCTAAGTGAGAGCGTGTCTCAAAATAAAAAAATAAAATAAAAAGGGCTGGCAGTGTAGCTCAGGAGCAGTGCTTGCCTAGCATGTAGGAGGACCCTGGTTCCGTTCCCAGCTCTGCAAGAGGAAAATCAGCCTCCATAGTCTGCAAACCAACCCTGCAGCAGAAATTCTGGTCACACACAGACAATCAATCTACTCTCTGCAATGATCACATAAAGATGAAATTGCCCAATAATGATGTATCCCGCCGGCATTCTGTGACACATGACTGCATGCATTCTGTTAATACGTGATTAGATTTTACATAATAGATAATCATACATGTACATTATATAATACCCACCTTCGTGTTATAACCATTAATATATTTTACTACTATGCACTTTTAAAAATTACCGAATCATAAACTGTTTCGAACTCCCAAATTTAAAGCTCTGCACCTCCCAGCCTACATGCTCCAGGAGACCCAAGGCAGCATGCACTTGTCCCAGGTGGACCCGCGGCCACCAGTTGTTCCTTGATCTTGACCCAGCTTACATTCATTGCCTACCCCAGGCTTGCTGTTGCCGTCTTCTGGCGCTGGGCACTGAACCCAGGCCCTGCGCGGTGTGCTGAGCTTCTCATTTACTTCAAGTCATCTCTAGATCCTCTATACTGCCTAGTATGATGCGAAGGCTGTGTAAATAGTTGAGATGCTTTAGAGAGAGAATAGTGACAAGAAGAAACAAAACCTGCACATGTTCAAGTTTTTAAAACATATTTTTCCAACCTGTGGGTGGCTGCATCTCTGAAGACAGCAGGATGTGGAGTTTCAGGGGCTGATTCTCTCTCTCTCTCTCTCTCTCTCTCTCTCTCTCTCTCTCTCTCTCTCTCTCTCTCAATACAGCCTTTCAAAAGCCCTGCGTGTTGGACAGATTTCTTGGAGTTCAGGCCCCACATCTTCCTAAGCTCCTCTGGCAACTCACCTCCGACACCCAACTCTTTCTGTAGCTACGCCTTGGGCAACCTTTGTCCTCCTTTGTGACCATCTACAGTATGACACCACTCCCTTTTGATGCATTTGGAGTCCTTTTCACTCCTGCACACCCGATTTCCCTTTGGCCTTGTGTCACACAATCTTTCACTTCCACACGGTAGTGGCCACGGAGTTGCCTGGTCACTCAATGAACTCGCAAAGCTTCCAGATATTTCAAAGCAATGTATGTATTTATTATTAAGCAACGCATGGCCCTTGGCAAAGTCTTGAGCCAATTTTAGTTGCGTAAAGTTACAAATGCTGTTATAAAATGACCACTTTTCCTGGGGAGGAAGATAAGAGAGGGTGATATCAGCTCTCCCAATCTAGAAGACATGCAGACGACCCACATTGTCTTTGGCAAGAACAAATGCAAGCATTTCGTAATTCACCAAGAGCTCACTCCTGGTTAACCCGGGAGGGTAGATTCATAGTGTATACAGTGGAGAAGGTGACTTCATTTTGACTCAACCTAATCTAGACGTCAAACACTCACACAAATACGCAGGATGTGACCTATTGCTGGAATTGGTACGTAATGGGTTTGCTTCAAATTCATGACATCCTCAAACTTTTTGAATTTAAACGACTTTTCAAATCCATCTGAATATATTCGAGACAGCCCTCGGGCATCCTGATTTATGCTAACAATCTGAGCGGGTTTCGGGGTTTTTTTTTCCCTCGGCAAAGATAACTGCATTTGAATAGACTGAGCAGTTTAACCACCTCAACAGATTTCTGATCCAAGCAAGTGTGAAATCATTTCCCCTGCTTTGCAGAGCCAAATGCTCTCGGTGAGAAAGTCAACAATACAGAGAGGAGATAATGCGATTCAAAAGGCGTGGAGACGGGGCTTAGAGAAGACGTATTTGCTAATATTATCATATGGAATTGCAGCAAGGAAAACACTGTGGTCCCCGAGTCCCGTGATCTCAAAGATGCTTTGCAGAATGAAATTAGTTGTGACATCTACTAGACGGTAAAGAAGCTTAATAAGAGAAGTCACAAAGTCACCCAGCAGCTCTGGGTCATTTTGGAGGATGACTCAGGATGCCCACCTCTGCTGACTCACGGGAAGGAAAGCCAGCCTCGTCGTGTGGGGTGACACGGGAACACAGGAGCCCTGCCCCCTGGCCTTAGCACCTCAGTATCCGACCAAGAGCCAGGGAAAAGTGAAACTCCCTGCAGTTTCTCATCAAATCTAAAGATCAGCGTCTGTACTCTAGAATCAGAAACTCCAGCCCCCTGGTTAGTTAGAATCTGCCTCTTCACCAGCCTGTTTTGGGAATGACAGAACATGCCCCTTTAATAAATGGTGGCAGTGGGTGACCACGCCCCACAGCGTCTGCAAGCACCTCTACTATGTGCTGGTGACTTTGGCCAGATAGGCAGCTGGGCATCTCTTTGGCACAGGTGACGTGAAGCAGGAGAAACGAGTACGTGAAGCTTTTACATCTAAGAAGACGGTTAAAGTCGGATGGGGGCCGGAGGGGGATCTTGTGGGAATACACATAAGAAGAGCTGAAAGAATAAACATGAGGTCAGTAGGGGAAAGGTGGGGATCTGTCTAGGTAAAGGCTCCGCCAATTTTTCCTGGGATGGCTGTAAGGGTTGCCAGGCGGAAGAGGGATTTACGCGACCCTTTGGATTTTCTTGAGAGGAGTCAGCAGAGCACGTGCTGCTGTGGTGCCGTGGGGTGGTGGCGTTTTAACTGCACCCAGTCCATGTCGCTACCCAGTCTAAACAGTTCTGTAAACAGTATGCATACACCAGGGCTTACTGCCACCCCAGTCTCAGTCCCCAAGCAGCTGCTGCCCTTCTGAATAGCCGGGGATGTCTTCTGTCACCTGAGCGCTAAGCTCCCAGTCTCCAGGCAACAGGCCCTTCCCCCACGCCCATCTAGGCCCCAGAGACACCTGCTCCCAGGATGCCCACCCACCCGCCCGCCCGCCCACAGGCTCTCCAGCTCCTTCCTACCCTCCTGATTGCTATGGAGTTCTGTCTAAATAACCTCTCTAGTTTGTAATCAGCGTGCTCCTCCTGACCCATTAATTCATCGAGGGTGCAGTCTAGTATTGGGGGCCTCGAAATCACGTCTGATTGCATACAAACACCAAAGTGATCAGCCACCGTGGGGAAACAAACAGCCACCGGAGTGCAGCCCAAGTTGCCGCAGGTTATAGACAATAACCAAACGAACGCACAAACAGGGGTACGCATGGCTACGCGGCAACAGGCACAGCCTTCACCCGGCGGACAGGCATGTGCCAACCCGTTCACGTGTGTGCACAGGGGTCCGTAAATGCATACACAGGCACGTAAACAGGTAAAAACACACACCTATACCTGAGGGCACTTGTGCACACACCTAGAGCTATACACAAGTGCCCACGTACCCATGACACACCCACACGCACATGCACACGCTGACGCATAAACGGATACGCTCACCAGATACACACACCCACACGTATTGATGAGGTGAGTCCTCTGTTGGCAGCTGAGAGAGTGAATGAACCGGAGACCTTTGTAAGGCCTTGCTGCAAAGGAAAGATGATGGAAAATCAGGTTGAGGCCACCCCGTCCTTCAGACCAAGACTCTGAATGGGGACCTCCAGGATTCTGCAGCCGGTTTTCATCTTGCAATACGCAGTTCAGGGACCTTTCTCCTCTGGTCACTGGAACAGACCGCCTGGGGCCCTCAGGACCCTGCTGTGTTGGCCCTGGCCCTGCCCTCGGTCCCTCCTGGCCACTTCCAACTCCAGTTATGCCCAAGGAAAGCAAACAGAAGGGAGAGAGGTAGTGTGGTGGAAGGTGACCAAGAGGAGGGAGGAGGAGAGAGAAAGAAACATCCGGGTAAACGAAAGGGAGCCAACTCTTACGTGCATGTACGAGTATGTCACAAGAGTCCCACTGCTGTGTCCAAATGCAATGCACCCGTAAGAAAAAGCAGAAGGCCACTGTACTTCTCCTATTCTGCCATCAACAGGCAGATCAGAATAAAGCAATAAGCCCCGACTCATGCACTGCACGGCTCACTCCCTGACAAAGGTATCGGTCCTGCTCTCCCGAATTGAGTTAGAAAAGCAGGCAAATAAGCAGAACCAGGAAAATAAAGGGAGGCCAAATGAGAGAGCCATGCTGTCCTCCACCTGACAGCTGTCCACCCCAGAAAACAGGTCCTCCCGGCGGGTAGCAGGTGCCTGGGTGGGGTGACTTGGGAGAGGCGAAACACAGTATGTGCCCTGGTCTGGGCAGCTGCACTTGGTCACAGGGCAGGAGCAAGATGATGATCAAACAGAGGCTTTCCCTAGTCAGCCCAAACCTGCATAGCCTTTCCTCTCTCAGGGTCTTTACTCTTATGTAAACAGATGCCAAATACACACACACACACACACACACACACACACACACACACACACTGTGTTTTCAGCCAAAACGACACTGCTCCGGCTGTCTGGGTGCTTGGCGAAGGTTTTAACATCCCTATTCAAAGGCAGGAAGCCCGGCTCTGCAGCGTCCAAACTGAAGGAGATTAGCAGCTGAGGCGGTCACCCGGGACAGCTAAGCTGGGGCCCTGGAAGCCACCCGCCCCATCCCCCCAGGGCGACTTTACATAATCAGGAAACACCGGCCTGTGCCTGAAACCTCAGCTCCAGAGGCAGATGTTGAAAACGGAGCAACAGCTATGGGTCAGTCTGGTTTGAACAATCGTAGAGTGATACCCAGTCCTGCTGCCCGACTTCCATCCTCCATGATGCGTTTCCAGCCGATGATAAGGCCCCCTTTCTGCTCCACCTCTTTAAAACAGATGAAAGAGAGAGATATTTATTTGGCGTGAACATTGAATGTCGAAGATGTCAAACATAGAAAGGGGGTGAAATGGGGAACAAACTCACACTGGTTCATTTCAGGGAAGACAGGAGAGATGGGTGTGTCCCAAGCCCCATCTGCGGCAAGAACAAGGTGGATTTCGTTTTCCAGTGCCGGGCATCCTGCTTTCTCCTTCCAAAAGCAACTGACCTGCAGTCCTGCCTGGATCCAGTGGACAGGCTATGCCACATTCCTCAGCCAAGCACCTGTTACGTGCAGGAGAAATGCAGACCCCAAGTAAGGTTGATAAGAGGAACCAAGTTACCCGGAAGGGGGAGACTTTTACGACCCTTTTCAGAGACCAGATCCCAAAACTCTGGGAGATAAGGGTAATTCCCGGCAGGCCCCAGCTCCAGAACACTCCCAGCCCGAGTGATCATCTTTTAGCTATCCTCATCTAATTACAAGGAACCATACTTGGCAGTTGATGGTCCAAGGCAGAAGCGTAGAGTGGATCGGTGCGTCGCATGACCCAATTTTTTGTTTTAATCATATTAAGGGAAGACTGAGGCTCAGTCCCGGTGATGGGATTAGGCTAAGCCAGTCAGAGCCTTCTCTATGTGGGTCGCCAAGTGTTGTCTGTCTGTCCCTTAGGGATTCTCCTGTGTGCGGAGTACAGTGCGACTCAATCGCCGTCATAATCGCGTCCACAGGACAGGCACCATAGCGCACGCCTGGCATGCCAGCAGCTCGGGAGGCTGAGGCAAGAGGATAGCAAGTTCAAAGCCAGCCTCAGCAGCTTCATAAGGCCCTAAGCAACTCAGTGAGACCCTGTCTCTAAATAAAATACAGGGCTAGGGATGGGGCTCTGTTGGCAGCCTCCTCGCATGCACAAAGCCCTGGGTTCAATCCCCAGCACCATAAATAAATAAATAAAATTTTTTAAAAAATGGCGGGCTGGGGATGTGGCTCAGTGGTAAGTTCCCTTAACAATCCCCTGAACCAAGAAAACAAAAGCAGAACGGAATGATGCCCGTCCCGCCAAGCCAGCCTGCACACAGGTGGGCTAGTGTCCTGGTACTCATCGGCCCACCTCACCTGAGCTGTCTGCAGATGAAAATACCAATTCTCACCTCACCTGGGTGTCGGTCTCCATTTGGGCTCCTGGGCAGGGTTCTGGCACCTTCTCTTCCCAAGTATAAAACAAAGACGTCCCAGTACTGAAAGTCCGTACAAAACAAAGGAGACGTCGTACCCGTTTCTAGCAGCTTCCGAGGCTGCCCCAGAACGGGCAGCAGACTGTACCATTCAGAGCCTCAGAGGATCTCAGCAAGGGAGGGTCTGACTCCTCGAGCATCCCTTGAGAATCTCAATTTTTAAACTTCAACTACATTTTTTAGACCTATCGTATTTTAAAATAGCATTTGGCCTTTCTCTTTTTTTTAATTCTCATATAATTTCTTATTTTTCCAAATTAATAAGTACCCAAAAGCTCTGGGGGTCACGATTTGGGTGCTGCCTCGATGGACAGTCGGACTCAGGGTGTCCCGAAAGGTTGCAGTTCAGCTGTCCACGGGGACTGCCATTGTCGGATGGCTTGACCAGGGCTGGTCAACTCCCAAGATGACTTGTGAACATGGCTGGGGACTGGGGACTGGGCACTGTTAGAAAGAGCTCTCCACGGGCGTCTTGGTACTCACCATGTTAAAACACCTGGCCACCCCGACTGATGGTGACCAGGAAGAAAAAGACTGAAATGGCGATGTGTTCCATGCTCTAGCCTCTAAAATAACGCCCCATCTTACCACCATATTCTATTGGTGGTGATATTCCACCGGTTAGTCTTCGTCAACGTGGAAGGACACGACACATCTCACAAGGGAGAATTTATTGGGCGCCATATTGGAAACTGGCTGCTCCATAGTTTCCCAGAGGATGATGGGAATTGCCAAAACGGGAAAGACCAAGACCAGGTTGAGGGCTTGCAGACCGACTGGCCAATCTTGTACCAGAAGGCCACCCATTCAAATGTCACCATCCAAAAATGCATGGCAAGTCCAGAGTTCATCTAATATAATGGAGCCTTTAAAGATCAAAGATGGTCCACTCCTGTGCATGGATGAAGCAGCAAAAATTTTGGAGCCAGAGAAAGGCTTGGAATAGATCGTGGTGTTGTGGTTCCAAATGGTCCACTCAGTGTGGAGCGAGATTCCAGGCAGTAGCTGAGGAGAGTGTCCAACCCACCCACAGAGAGCGGAGTTGGCTGTGGATGAAGGAAGGTCAGTGCATGTCGAGGGCACACGTGGGCTAGTCAGGGGAAAGACAGGAGTGGGAGCTCAGTGCTAACTAGAACAGCGCCAAGATGCCCTTGTCCCTTCCCCAGTGTTGGCCAGGAGGCCAAGAACACCAGCACACGTTCCAAAGCCCCTGCCTTGATGGGCCTCAGCTTCTGGCTCTGGATACCTTTTAGACCAAGCCGCCAGTCAACGCCACATAACACCTGAGAGGAGTTGAGAAAGGTATGGGCTGATAAGAGGGTCCTTAAGGACATCCCAGGATCAGTGGGGGGGTGTGCGCCCTGAACGAATAGAGAGTCATCGTTGCTTATGTGACAAGAATCTGGAGACGGACGGCACTGGCCTGCCTTGGTCCCGCAGCAGGTGCTTCTGCTATTCTCTGTTACTTGCGCTCATGTCTGGAAACTAGCCCCTGTCCCTCCAGGGTGGTGGCAGTGTACGAGGCAGAATAGGAGGGAGGCGATGAGTGTCCGCAAGTATCATCTAGCAGAGGCCGCTGGCAGACTTTCATCTATGTCTAGTTGCCCAAAGCAAGGTCCCAGGACTCATCCTAGCTCCATGAAAGGCCCAGACAGTGGAGAGAAATGAGCAAGAAAGTCGTTGGGATCAGGCACACGCCATTAACCTTGATCCTCATGCTTGTTGCTCCATGTTTGAGAGTTGGCTTCCCCAAGAGTGTGTGTGTGTGTGTGTGTGTGTGTGTGTATAGCAACCCACATGCTGCTTCTTTGCAGCCAGGGTTGAGAGAGGAACTGGGGTTGAGAGAGGAACCGTGAGTCACACTGCAATATTAGCATCATAATTCAAACGCACTGGAAGCATCAGGCCAAAAGTGCCTTGGTCACCTTTGTCTTCAGAGCACAAATATTTTAAATGCAAAACTTACCACTTCCTTGTATCCCTGATTTGCATTCCTTGGACAGGGGTTGTGATTTTAATAACGGCCTCCATGGACAAGAGACAGCCTGCAGCTGGTTGTTGGCCCCATCTCCTGCACTTCCAGGAATTCAAAATCAGCGCCAGCTCTTTATTCTTGCTCTTCTCACCAAGAAGCACATCCTCAGATGTGGGGTGGCTGAGAACTCTTAGGGCTTCGGAGCTGTCCTGAAGCTGTCGCCCCATTAGGAAGCCGCCGGCCACAAGAAGCCATTAGCACTGGGAATGGGCCAGTCGCAACCTACTGGGCAGTGCTGCCCACACTTAGGGAGGCTGTGCACTTTAGCTGGCTATGCCCCAGGCCAGTCACTCCTGGACACACCTGCTGGACACGCCCAGAGCCTCTCTGTCCTTCGCCATCTCTTGAGGACTGAACCCAGGGGTGCTCTTCTATTGAGCTACATTTCCAACCCTTTTTAATTTTTTTTTTTTTTAATACAGCATCTCACTAAGCTGAGCAGGCTTGCCTCAAACATGCAATCCTCCTGCCTCAGATCCCAAGGTGCTGGGCTTACAGGTGTGCCCCACCATACGGAGCAACCTTTTCTCTTTTTGGTAAAATTCTCTTCCCAGCGACATCAAACACCGCCTCTACACAGACCAACCCCGGTGACATTCCCCAAGGCCTTCTAGCTGCGAGCCTGGACCCTTATTAGGTAGAACTGCTGCAGCTTCCGGCCCAGGCTTCCCCTGTACGGTTCCAACGTCAGCAGCTGGGCTTTCAGTTTGGGGGTTGTGCATTTTCTGCCCCCAGGGCCCCTGGCAATGTGTTTTTCCTGCATATCTCCTGCGAGAAGACCGTTCAGCACTGAGCTGCCACCACCATCCCAGCAGAACCAGCAATGGCAACCTCAATTTTTAAAAAACTGTTTACTCATCATTTTTATTTTTTACTCTTGTCTCCTTCTGGAATCTCTCTTATTTAGCCATGGGACCCCCAGAATGGTCTGCTAATCTCCTCTTTTTCTGTATCCTTTCTCTTTTTCTCTTTGTTCTACGTAGGTTTCTTCAAGTGGACCTCAGGCGGTTAGCCCAGGGTACATTCGTCCATATCCCTTGGTGTGTAAATGTGCACTTGGGCCAATCTGTACCTTCTGATTGCAGGCACCCACAACTCAGGGGTTTTATAGAGACCAGCTTCTGCTCTGCTCTTTCAAGCAACCAGCGGTCAGTGCAGGGGGATGATTCTGTCTTGGGAGTGGCCCTCGGTTGATGATTGATCAGCTTTTTCACTCAGCACCTTTCCTTGAGAGACATCCAAGTTATTGCCTGTAACAATCCTTAGTTCCTTTTCATTACCAAATAATATTCCACAGTTTGAATCTACTATAGTTCGTCTAGGAGGACACCAGGAACTGTTTCCAGTTTGGGACTCTGGTGAGTCAATCTGTGAAGGTCATTCACATGGTGTGTCTTTCTGCGGACATGAATTCCATTTCCTTTGGACAAATGTGCAGGGGAGCAATTGTAGGGCACTATGAACATGCACGGCGCGTGTTCTAAGGTGCCAAGTGTTTGAAGAATCATCAGCACCAACTTAGAGGGGTGTGTGCTCTAATTGAAATGGAAAAGGATAAACTTTGGGGTAATAAGATACAAGCAGGGTGTTACTCTAAGGAATGATCTCATGGAAATAAGGAGACGCTCTTACAAACGAGGAGTCTAACGTGGCACCGTAAGCACAGATTAAAAACATAAAGAGTGGCAGGCCAGGAAGGGTCAGTGGGTGAGGGCAGGAGAAGGGCACCCACAGGGACCAGCTGTTGGGGACCTTACAAAGCTAATGCCCCGGGCTGGGAACATGGGAACATCTACAGCCCTCGGGAAGAGGTGTGCAGAGAAATGTGAACAGAGAGAGCAGAAGAGAAACCAGACGTGGTTCAAGACATTTCCAATCAACGGGTCCATCGGACAGTCAAGATGATTCCTATAAACAAAAACCGTGGCTTCGATCAAAGCTGAGAGGGAACATTTTCCACTTCTTTTCTCCCCTGTCTGCAGCCTCCAAAAGACTGCTTTTAATAAAACGCAACATGGTGTGCTGGGTGGTAGATGGTGATTTCCCCCCTAATATATTCTAATTCAAACTATTTTCAGGCAGCCTGATTTGAAAATCGCTCCCATAGCTATAAAAAGCACATGTATTTTGAGAAATAAAAGATGAGAAACAAGAAGAAAAGGATACTGGAAAAAAAAAAAAATGCTCCAGTCTGTCTGGTTGCAACTCAAGCCAACAATCTGAGGTCCCGAGAAAACAATTCCACCAGATTTAGAAAAGGGGAGAACCAAGACAAAAATAAGCCCTGGCCAAAAATATAAGTCCAGTGCCCAGGACTCACAAGAGCCCAGTGTAAAAATGTACCATCTCCCTTACACATCTCGTTGGCACTCCTTAAAAACAAATCACTATTAGGTCCTTCTTTTTAAAGAAGTGTCCCCACCTTATCTCGTGGTAGGTTTTATGACTGTGTTAAAGCGGGTTGTTGTGTCTGTTTGGGTTTTTGTGACGGTTTCTTTCTTGGATTTCTTTTTTTTTTTTTTTCCTTTTGTTTCCTAAAGTTGTTTTTTCCCAACAAAATCTTCAAGGTGGAAAGCAAACCCATCGCTCAGGGTTTTAAATCCGACGGCTGAGGAGAGCCAGTTTCAGGTAAGGAAGGAAAATCAACAAGCTTGCCTTGTAACAAGCTTGCCAAATCGGAATGTGCAGATCGTCTTTCCTGGGAGTAGGCTCATTACCGAACCACGGCAGAAACATGGCCTCTTGTACTTAATGTTGAGGTCGTGTGCATTGCCCTCACGGGTGCCCAGGTCCGTAAGCATGCACAACCTGTGGTCAGACATGGGGGGCAACGTCTCCTTCCAAGTGCAAGAATGCGCTGGGCATGTGGCATGTCCCTGATGTGCCAGCTGATGGGGAGGCTGAGGCAGGAGGATCACTTGAGCCTAAGAGTTTGAGACCAGCCTGGGCAAAATGGCAAGACCCTATCTCAAAAAAAAAAACAAAAAACAAAAAAAAGAATGAAAAAAAATATATATATATATGTTTTTAAATCTTTATCTATTAAACAACATATCTTTAAAGCCACCCTTTTGTTCAAAAGCAGATCACATTTATAGTTTTTGAATTGGCTGTTCTTGAACTCATTGTTAAAAAATCCCTAAATTACTTCCTTCCCCCCCCCCCTGTGGTGCTGGGGATTGAACCCAGGGCCTTGTGCATACGAGGCAAACACTCTACCAACTGAGCTACATCCCAGCCCCCTAAGGCAGCCCAGACGGAAGGCTTTCTACAACCTCATGAGGCCCGGAGCAGGAACCATGCCCAAATTCCCAACCCAGACCAGCGCTGAGAGATAAGAAGTGATTATCTTTGTTCTGTTGGAAGCTGCTCCGTTTGGGGATGACTTGTTACGCAGCCATACTGTCTGTCTGTCTCTCTCTCTCTCACCCACCCCCCCCACACACACCAAAATGGATTACCCCCAAAAGACTCACTTTGATCAGGAAAAAAGTTTGCCAAGGTTTTCACCCCTTCAATCAGATGATTCAGTAGATCAGACACAATTTTTTTTAACTCAAGTCTTTAAAGCAGCCAACCATATTTTTTTTTGTTTTTTGGACATGAGTGTTTTTCACACATCAATTAAATTTTGCTTCTCAGAGACAATGTATCTCCTTCTGTAAAGTTCCTTTTCCTGGCTGAAAATTCTGATAAAGGGAGTAAAGATATTTCCTCTGCCTTTCTGAATTTCCAATCACTGTCTAGATGTGATTGCCGACAACCCGTGCGAATTACGAAATTGTGACATATTGTTTAATTGACAAAAACTAAGAATCAGACTGAGACAGGGTAGAACATAAGCTCGTTTTTTTCCCCCTACAAAACAAAGCTTAATAGTTTAATCGAGTTTGAGGGAAATATTGAAATAAAATCCCACCTGTTCCATCAAATATTTGTCTTGGAAACAGATTAACACAAGACTTTTTCATTATCCTCTGCATGTAATGGGCTAAATATTAAAAGCTACACGTGAACAAGAAGATCTTGGATGTATCAAGTTATCTTCAGAGAATCAGATGAAGGGGAGCTCACAGAGAGGTAGAAAACCTCAGCTCAGGAAGCAAACCCGGTATTCCGAAGGCCTCCCAAGAGAACTCAGCCTGTCGGGCACAATAAATTTTAAAACAAAAATCAAGACGATGCTCCCACCATAGCAGGAAGTTTCTCAAGCGCGGAAAACTGCCTCTGTATTCTGGGTAATTACCCAAAATATAAAACGTCAGTTTAATGGTCCTTTATTCAGCCTGAATGTTCTCCAACCACAGCGCCGCCACCCCTGTCCAAAGCCGACCTTCCAAATCCATAGCCTGTAAAAATAAAAGAAGACCATTTCGTCAAAAACCAGCCTGTCATCTTGGGTTTCTGGATCATATTTTTTTTTTTTTTTATTCTTTGTCTCCAGGGAAAAGAAACACGATACTAATTGGCTTTTGGGGTGTGCTTTTAAAATTTGTTTTTGAGCACTTTCTATGACCAGACAGTTGTCTAGACATAAAACTGTCCAACTCATTTAATTCCTCAATAACCTTTGGGCTGAGTACAATTGATAACCCCCTTTCCACAGGAAGGAAGCTGAGGGTCCAGAGAGAGGGAGAAATTCTGCCCAATTGGTACAACTGGTAGGAGACGAGTTAAGGATTTCTTTCTCGTTTTTTTCCAGTGCCAGGGATTGAACCCAGGGCCTTGTGCATGCTCGGCACGGGTGCTATCACTGAGCTCTATCCCCAGCCCCAAGGATTTGAACTGGCAACGTCAGTCACCAAAGACTCTGGCTCTACGTCTTGATTGCTTTCATTAATAAATCTCAATGCCTCTCCAACCAGTTATCTTTTGATCTACCCCCAAAGAGCACAAGAGAGCGGAATCTCCCAAAGCCTGGGAGTCCCACGTAGAGGGATTTCATGCCTGCTGTGTCGGAAATCCCAGCCACCTGACAAACAGGGCCGTGATGCCAACAGTATACATGTTACTGAAGTATAAAGAAATTCACTACAGAGGGCTTTTCCTGGTTTATAAGACTGCTATGGATAAACCAGTTCTGTTGTGCAATTCACCTGCTGTAAGAGAATTGCAAAGTCAGAATACCTCTTAGGAAATGTTCCGTCAAGCATGGAGATGGATGGATTGATGTCAAGTAGCCCATGAGAACAGATTTCACTGTGGCTCTGAACTGGTGTGTATTAGAACATGCATTAAACTGTCCATGTTCTTGATCAGTTTTAAGACAAGAGGCAACAGAGAGGCCAATTCAAACTCAGAACCAGCTTCTAAAGCATCACTGATCTATGGACCTTATAGGAAACTACAGAACTGGAGAAAAGGTAGCAATTCGTACATCGAAAAATGAATTCAGCCTGCCCCTGTGATCTGTCTGCTGGAAATACATGAAACTCTGAACGTGCAAACAATAAATTCAGTTTCCTTTGTGCTAAGGACTGGATAATTCGTTATTAGGAAGATTTATTTTTTAAAAAGTATTTTTTATGATTCATTATAATGAATCCTGTAAATGCTTGCCAAGATCAAGCTCCTTAGGAGAATAACAGCAATCCCATTCGTGATAGTACTGAAAACATCATCCTGAGTAAATGCCGTTTCCTTGAAATATTATTGACTGGGGAGTCATCACTGGATAACGTTTAACTACGACACGGGATTATGGTAGATGATGACCTCCATTTATTGTTGGGTTTGGTTTGTTTTTGAGATATCTTGTCCAACGTCCAAAACTGTAATGTAGCATCGTTTGAAACATTAAAGCTAAAGCATCAATAAAGAGCATTCAGCCAGTCATTTCAGGCCTGAGGACGTAGCTCAGTTGGCAGAGTGCTTGCCTCAATGCACAAGGCCCTGGGTTCAATCCCCAGCACCAACAAAAAAAAGAAAAAGATCATCATGGCAGTCATTTCAAACCGACAGACCCACGTGGATTTCAGTTGCTCATTGTTCATTCACACAGTTGTGCAACATGAACCAGCCACCTAAATGATTCTGACAGCCCCGGGCCCGCTCAATAATTCCAGAAACACCCAACAATGAATGCATTCTGGAAAAGGCAGTGCTGGACCTCATTTCCTTCCAACTTGAAGCCTGTGGCAGAGCCGTCAGTTATGGAGATGTGAGCGCTGGCTTGATTAGGATTGCTCAGAGGAACCAAGAAACGGTCTCTGTTGCAATCACATATCTTTCCTCAGCCAACTTTTCTCCACCTTCTTGACACTGACCTTTGGGAACAAAGGCAAAGAAAAAGATTAAATGACCAAATGACCAAAAAGGAGGGTTTCCACCCAAAGCCACCCTGGTGACTCATCTTGGAAGCAGATCCACCCACCCCAGCTAAAGCTTCTCTCTGCAGTCCCACAAGAAGTCCTGGATCAGAACCCCCAGCTAAATTCTTACGCCCAGAAACATTGATAATGCTGTTGATTGTTTTAAACTGAGAGCTGACGGTTTGTTCTGCGGCCGCACATAAGCAATGCACCAGGAATTTGAACCCAGAGGTCCCGACCCCAAAGCCCGCGACCTTTGCTTTCACCGCGCTCCTTTCTCTGTGGCCTTTTGGGCAAAATCTGAACGTTTCGGCCTCCTCAGTGTGTGGTTTCCCCTAACAGCCCGCGCAGTCTTGGCCAATTACATCACATTTTTGTACCTATTCATGGTTCTTTTGCGGGGGAGGAGGGGTACTGGGGATTGAACTCGGGAGCCCTCGAACACGGAGACCCATCCCCAGCCCAGTTTTGTATTTTATTGAGAGACAGGGTCTGAGTTGCTCAGCGCCCCACTTTGGCTGAGGCTGGCTTTGAACTCGCGATCCTCCTGCCTCAGCCTCCCGAGCTGCTGGGATGACAGGCGTGCACTTGGCCTGTTCACAGTTCCTGACGCTTACCACACTAGCCTTGCTGTCTAGATCATAACAGCCACGAGGACCGGTGCTAGACAAGTCGTGCCCTAAACCCCAGGAGCATATTCAGCGCTGATCAAGTGGTAAACCCCCAACGCGTATTTTGGGACGAAGAGGGAACCACCATCCAAATCTGTGTGACACCAGGAGACGCCCCCGGGGACTTTGCTCTCACTTCTTGCTGACCCAAACGGGAACAAATTCCACCTCTGAGAAGGAAGAAGGAAAACCGTCGGAGTTGGGATTTTTTGTGAATCCAGAAAATCATTTTGAGGCACAAGGTGTCCGAATGTTTTCCAAAAACAGGCAAAAATAAAAAATACCGTCCTAAGCCTGAGTCTGTTGTTGGGTCCTCCGTGCGTTCTTAGGCTCCCCCGTTTCCAGCTGCCTGGAGATCTGGGGCAGCAGGTGCCCGGACAGGAGTGGCCCAGCCTGGCGCTGACCTCACTCAACCCCTGGCCACAGAGGGGAGCCAAGCCTTCCTTAAAACAGCCTGCGCCCGGGCTAGTGGGTAGTTTGCACACGCACAGTAAACCAACCCTCGACACCCAGTTGCAATGGATTTGCAACGTGGGAAGTGCCTCATCACCCAGATTTTACGTCACAGTGAGGATGAGGGTGGGGAGAAAAGAGGAATGTGTGAAGGAAACAAAGTCCGCAAAGCTCTGACGGGAAATAGGAAACCGGGGACCTGCAGACGTTGCCAGGGTGATCAGGTGCAAGACCACACTCTTTTAGGGTGACCACTGAAACAGAAGTCAGCGTCACGTGTACAAACGCCGCTGTCACACACGGAGGCCACCCGTAGCCATGGAGCCCCTGAGATGTGGGAAGGATGATGGAGAAGCCAACTATTAGTAGGTTGGATTTTAGCTAGTGACTAAGCCACGACTAACTAGTTACCCATGTACTTCACTTAGATACAAATAGTCACCTGTGGTTAGAAGATATGGCACCAGGAAGCGCCAGGTGCTTCAGAACAATTCCCCAGAGAATTGGGGGCACTCTCAAGTAACTGCGACCAAACACAATCTGAGAATTACAGGGCTCCCCCTTATCCTTAGGGGGTACATTGCAAGACCCCCAGTGGGTATATGAAATTGCATCGCACCAAAACAAATATATACTGTGCATGCGAGAAAGTTTAACTATAAATGAGACACAGTAGCTGTGTGCACCGGCACACACCTATGTTAATTGGGAGGCAGGAGGATTGCAAGTTCAAGACCAACCTCAGCAACTTAAGCCCTGAGCAAGTCACAGAGACCCTGTCTCAAAATAAAAAATAAGCCGGGCACCGTGGGGCACACCTGTAATCTCAGTGGCTCCAGAGGCTGAGGCAGGATAGATGGCAAGTTTAAAGTCAGCCTCAGCAATGTAACGAGGCCCTAAGCAACTTAATGAGACCCTGTCTCTAAATAAAACACAAAAAAAGGGCTGGGGGTATGGCACAGTGATTAGGTGCCCCTGGGTTAAATCCCTAGTACTAAAAAAGATTAAAAAAAAATTTTTTTAAAAGGGCTGGGTTGTAGCTCAGTGGTTAAGTGCCCTTGGGTTCAATCCCTGTACTAAATTAATTAATTAGATATAGTAAGACGTTGACGACAACAACTAATAATAAAACTGAACAATGTCAATAATATAACATAATACGGCCAACATGACTACTCTTGGAGCCATTTGAAATAAAATATGTGTGACTTAAACATAACCCATACTTAACAAAAGCACTGTGATATTGTGACAGTCAATCTGGTAACCAGAATGCCTCAAATTATCAAAAGGAGGGTAGCATATACACTGTGGATACACTGGACAAAGTGATGATTCACTTCCCAGAGTGGAATGTCATGAGATTTCTTTCATCTTTCTCTCCAGAATGATGCTCAATTTAAAACTTATAAATTATTTTCCCAGAAATGGATATAAGAGGACTCAAAACTCTAAAACTTCAAACCATATTTCAAAATTTCAAGGACGCCCTCTTGATTAGCTATTGTCTGGAGTCGCTTTAGGATCTAATCTAAGAAGCAAGACAAGAAAGAGTGAAGAAGGATGTCCACCCAGTGTCTTCAGTCAGGTTCCTGTCCAATCATGGAAGGACGATTCAGCCTGTTCTGCAAGAGGGGGCCACTGATGGATACCTTTGGGGTTCAATGGGGCGCAAAGTGAAGCTGCCTGGATTAGAAACCAAGTTCTGTTCACAAAGGAAGCCCAAATGGGATACAGGAAAGCCCTGGGAGGACCAGTATGGCCCAGTGTGGCTTTAATTTAATTTTTTTTTTAAGAGAGAGAGAGAGAGAGAGAGAGAGAGAGAGAGAGTTTAATATTTATTTTTTAGTTTTCGGCGGACACAACATCTTTGTTTGTATGTGGTGCTGAGGATCGAACCCGGGCCGCACGCATGCCAGGCGAGCGCACTACCGCTTGAGCCACATCCCCAGCCCCCCAGTATGGCTTTCTAGGTCCTTCTGTGGCTAGGCAGGGGAACAAGTGGAAACTCACCCCCGGCTGGGCAGGAGCATCAGCTTATATGATCACTAGGGGACACTAGTACAGGTTTCTACTGAAATGGCCCACCCCAATTCCTGGGCACATGATTGCTGTGATTTGGCTAAGTGTCCCCCCAAAGGCCCATGTGTTAAGGGTCAGCCTGTGGCACTACCAGGAAGTGGTGGGGTTTTTAAGAGGTGGAGCCTACTGGGAGACAGTTCCATGTCTGAGGCACATAACGGCAGTGTTACATCTCTCAACATGGTATTGAGTAAAAGCATCCAGGCCCATAGGATTCAACATTATCTAAGGTTTCCCTTTCCGTGGCTGCAGTGAGCTGAGGTCAAATATGGTCCCAAAATATTAAAATGGAAAATTCCAGAAGCAAACAATTTGTAAAGCTTTAATTTTTTTGCCACACCAAATAGCATAATGAAATCTCTCACTGTCCTAGAATGTCTCACCCAGAATGTGAATTATCCCTTTGACCACTGTATCTGTGCTGTATATGCTACCCACCCATTAGTCATTTAGTAGCCATCTTGGTTATCAGAAGGACTGTCACAGTATCACAGCGCTTGTGTTCAAGTCACCTTGTTTTACTTAATAGTGGCCCTGAAGTACAAGAATAGTCATGCTGGCAATTTGAATATGGCAAATAGAAATGCTTCCCGTAAGTGAAATGGTGAAAGTATAGTAAGATATTCTAAAAAAAGGAGAGATCATATTCACAGACCTTTTATGTCAACAGACACAGTTCTAACTGTTCTTTACTCTTGTCCATCTCTTACTGTACCTAATTTACAAGTTAAACTGTACCACAGGTGTGCATGTGTAGGGAAACTGACCACTTACAACACACAAACATCTTCCATACATATTCTTCAATTCTTGTTTTCAGTAAGACAAGGTCTCATTAGGTGCTGAGGAGCTGGCCAGATTGCCAAGTTGGCTTTGAACGTGCAATTCTCCAGCTCCCGAGTTGCTGGGACTATTGATGTGCCCCAGTGTGCCTGACTTCAACAGCTCTTTTTATTTTTGAAGGGTACCAGGGATTGAACTCAGGGGCACTTGACCACGGAGCCCCAGCCCCAGCCCTATTTTGTACTTTATGAGAGACAGGGTCTCACTGAGTTGCTTACAGTCTCGCTGTTGCTGAGGCTGGCTTGGAACTCACGATCCTCCTCCTCAGCTTCCCGAGCCTCTGGGATGACAGGCATGCACCACCGCACCTGGCTCAACAGCTCTTAAAAGGAAGCTTTGTCCACCCCAAAAAGTACACTTAAGGGGCTGGGGTTGTGGCTCAGCAGTAGAGCGCTCACCTAGCATGTGCGAGGTGCTGGGTTCGATCCTCAGCACTGTGTAAAAATAAATAAATAAAATAAAGGTATTGTGTCCATCTACAACTAAAAAAAAAAAAAAAACAACATAAAAAAAAGTACAGCTCAAAACTCACCCCTTCCATGAACTGTGAAAGCGTCAAAGAGCAATCTTTCATTTTCTTTCCATGAAAAAAGCAAAACTGTTCACGTGCATAGGTCTTACTGTATTCTCCAGGATTTGAACCTAATGGGTTTTTAAACCTCCCTTGGTGTTTAGCACAGTATTGCTGAAAGATACCGTGTATTTCAACTCTCTTTGACCAAACCACATCTCTTCTGCTATTAAAGTCGCTTAAACGGCAAAGATAAATATTATCTCATACGTTCTGTGAATTTTCAAACAGCTGAATCCAGTTAAACACATTTTTCTTGGTGCATATAAAAATGAAAACCGTCGCAATAGAAAAGACTCCGGAATTTTCCATGCACACAGCTGTTGCTATCCAGCACTAGTGATGTCAATGTCACCCACTGTCCCCCATGAGGAAGAGCACTGCATTGCTTTATGGTTTCGGTGTAGGGCAAAGGCATCAGAAATGATCAGGAGAAGAACAGACTCCCAAAAATGTGACCAAAAAGCATGCAGACGGTGACAGCATGCTAGATCAAGAATTTGAAATTCATAAAAGCCAGGCACATTACAGGTGCATGCCTGTAATCTCAGCAGTTCGGGAGGCTGAGGCAGGAGGATCACAAGTTCAAGGCCAGCCTCAGCAAAAAGCAGGCACTAAGCAACTTAACCAGACCCTGTCTCAAAACATAAAAAGGGATGGTGGTGTGGTTTGGTGGTTAAGCACCGCTGGGTTCATTCCCCAGTACCAAAATAAATAGATGGGAGGATGATTTCTGCAAATAGTGCATAATTTCATATGAGGGACTTGGACCTCCATGACTTGGGTATCTGGAGGTTTTTGGAACCAATCTCCCATGGATACCAAGGAGGACTAGAGTTTAATGGGGCCAGTTAGGCTCCATGGGGCACGGAGTGGTCTCACCTATTTATTAACACCAGAGGGAAAGCAGAACAGAACAGTGAGCAAGAATCTTCCTTTAAGAGACTTTTGTCCACCATCATGGCGTTCTGCACGCTTGGTACCTGGGCACAGAGTCCCGGAAGTCCAGGAACTGACCGCAGCTAAAGCCATTTGAAGCATCCTTTGTCCGCCTGTCCCCAAGCCTTTCACTTGATAACAGTTTCCTCATTCTTTGTTACATATGCTTGGATGAAGGGAATTTCCAGAATGGTCCAACTTATCATCTCAGTTCTTAGGAGTAAAGTGAGAACCCAGACACACTTGCCCTCTCCCTTGGTCCCTGCCTCAGCCACCCAGCTGGTCTCTGGGGCTTGCCAGGGTCATCATTTCCACCCTTGGGGAAGAAGAACTCTCCCAGGGCTTCCGGCCACCTGGGAGTCCTCTCTGGCCTGCTCCGGCCCTGCCTCCCAGGAAGAAGGATCCATGGGGCCAACAGGAGACCAGAGCTTGAAGGCACAGTAGGAAGGCACAGTCTGTGGGTTCTAAATCTTCATCAATATGAATCGATGACTTTGACAGATTTAAAAAATTAGTTGGATTTTTTCCCCATTGTCTTTTTCCTTAGAAAAATGCATAAGTGTGCGACATTGAAGATCTAGAGTCAGGCACGGTGACTCACACCTGTCATCCCAGTGGCTCAGGAGGCTGAGGCAGGAGGATCACGAATTGAGAGCCAGCCTCAGCAACAGAGAGACTCTAAGCAACCCAGTGAGACCCTGCCTCAGAATAAAATAGAAAATAGGGCTGGGATGGGGCTCAGTGGGCAAATGCCCCTGAGTTCAATCCCCAGTACCCCCTGCCCCCCTCCAAAAAAAAAAAAGATCTAGAGACAGTTTCAAAGATTTTCCAAGTGTTTGATCACTCACAGAGAGAAATGACCCGGGAGTCAAGGACGACTTCATGGTGCCGGGAACATTTCAGTGTGTGCTTCTGCCCCGGGGACAAAGCCCATCGTCACCAGTACAAGGGAATCCGGGAGAAACCACCACCCCGGACCTTCTGGGAGGAAAAGGCACTGGCACTGGGTGTACTGCACACATCTTCACCCTCTGACCTCCCTCCTTGCTTCCTGCTGTTTTGCACTCTGCAATCATTCTTCCTGATATTTTACTAACTTAGCAAAAGGTGTCAGTGCTCTCTGAGCCTCATTAACAAGCAAGAAAAGGGAAAACCCGGGCTGCCTCGGGAGGTTTGGCAGAACTCAAACCACCCACGAACCCTGCAACCGCTTTCAAAAAGCACAAAGGAGGCCGCAGTCTGTATTGCATGATCTGCTCCGAGAGACACTCCACCAGGGAAAAGGGGAATTGCCTTTCAAAGGTAGATTGCTGTGATTCAGACGTCAAACAGCACCGTGGTCTGAATGTCTGTGTCCAATGCAAAACTCCTGACTTAGAAGACGATGGTGTAGGGG